GTTAACAATGCTCACCAGCTCTCCAGTGATGATTCCCATGATGATGGGATAGTAGTTATCCACCATCTCCTTGCACTCCGCAGTTAAACCTTGATCCGGAATAAGCTGGCAGGCCTTCTCCAGGTAGCCAAGAACCTCAGCCTATGATCAGAAATATGAAGATACTAGTCTTTTAGCAGAGTTTTCAAGGTCTTGACATATTTATTAAAAATGAACATAGATATTTTTTTTTTAATCTTACCTCTGTTGCATTGTCTTTCAGTATCTGCTCCACCACTATCAGGATCTCTTTACACAGGTCACATGGCACTGTTTTCTAAAGCCAGACAGTAAAGTGTGTGAATGAAGATTACTGTTAGAGTAGTTCAAAATACAAATGAGAAATTCAGGAATCTTTAAGAGAAACGTGTGCTCTGTTGGTGGCACATTACATTACATGGAAACGTATGAATAGAGATTGTCAGTTTTGTAGGCAAATAATAAAAATAAAAAATATCAGTCTCACCATCTGGGGTTTGTTCCACACGTTCTGTTGGCAGTGAGTCACAGCTCCACACAGGGATGCCGTCTTTACATTCTGACACCAGTAGGGGGGGCCACGAGCACACTGCTCAGTGCCGAGGAGAGGAGTTGCTACAGCTGCAAAGCAGACAAAAGTCAAATTCCATACCCTTAAGAGAGCTTTATGAGGCTGCTCAGAAAGCAAATCACATGAAAAAAATACATTTCTGAATATGCCATTGCGGCTTACATGGAAAGTTAAAAGGCACGTGCAGAAATGACAGTCTGATTCTTATTGGTTACCTTTTTTCCCCTCCAAAGGGAACTACGTTTAAGGTTTAATATGCTCTCAGTCAATGTAGAACAAGGATTTTCAGAGCGTGGGACTGTGCCTTACCTAAGATAAAGTTCAGAAAAAAGGCACTCTCTCATGCACTTATTATTTACTTGCTTAGTTTTGTTCAATTTCTGGAAGCCTATAAGACCATGATAACATTATTTGCTCCTGATAGGCACTAAATAACTCAGCCAAGATATCCTAATATTGCTGTTTGATATAACCAATGACTACACAAAATACATAAAATGGTCTGACCTAAGGAGTTTACGTTGAAAACAAAACAACAAAAAATGTAAAATTCTTCAATACTATCAGATCTCTGAACTCTCTCCTTAATCAAATAACATAATTAGGCTACTAAATGTGACCTCCATGTGATAACTAATGATATAATGAGTAATATTCTTTTCATATCCATTTACTGAGCCTCCCTTAAAACAGTCAAAACCCTTTGGGGGGCCCACCTTCAAAACTGAAAACCTTTGAACATGCAGACATTTTCACATGTCACCTAGAGTTTATACAATGAAAGAGGAAGTAACATTCTCACATCTTGATTTTCTGGACACGCTAGTTCACTTAGAAGTACATAGTTTGGCCTCAACACACCTTTGATTAAATCTGCCTGGTGATGCCTGCATTTACCAGAGGGGGAATTTCAAGTCTGCCTTTTCTAAACATTAAACTGGGAAGTTATGAAGTATTTACTTCCTTATATGATACTGCTCAGCAGGTACATTTTTAAAACTGCTCTTTCAAGAAGGAAAACAAAAGGTCAAGCTTAACTTTATTAGCTGAGTTTTAAGATGTTTCGCAGATGATAATTATCAGTATTTATTTAACATTTAGTTCAACGCTTTGGTCTGATGAACATGAAACACTAAATGATGGCGTTCAAAATCTCTAAAGGTATTGAAAAAGCTTAGTTTTGTCCATCCCTTCACCAGCCTCGAGAAACTAACAAAATGCAGTTGAGTACTGTTGTTGGGCAAGTCAAGAAAAATCAGTGGGTTTATCCTGTGAACCTGAAGCCAGTTAAATCACTGAGGATTGTGGGGAAATACCCTTGCCTTTCTGTATTATAATTCCTAATGAATAAAAACATATTCAGTCCCATTAACTTAAATTGCTAATTTACATTAGCAAATGCCTCTAAATCTGGCATAACTTCCCATCAGCAACCATCAAAAAAAATGAATAGCCTGTTGAAACCAGTCAAACCATACCAGACAAAGAGGGGAACTTATCATTTACATACGAATCACAATTGCAGAAGTGTGAATTAACGGTGGCTTCTTCTGGATCAATGCACAAAAAAAAAAGAAGTAATTATCACATGAAGTGAAAAAGTGATGTGGGAAAGCACCTATTAGTCTGTAGCAGGGTTTCCTGTTTTTCTATAAACGGTCTTAAATTATGGTTGAGAAAAAAAGCAAGATCTCCACATTTAAATACAAAAACTACATGTGGACATGTGAGTAAAATGCTGTAAAGATTACTATGTTATCTTAGAGGGATTAAAACCAAACTCAAAAACACAAGTGTACCCAGGATATTAACTAATCAGGATGCAAGAGCTATCCGAGGCCAGTGAGTGGACTTTGGGTGATTATGGCAAAGAATAGGCAATGCAGGCCAGGCTGTACAGACCAACTTTCAGCGCAGGCAGTGCACTCCCACCCTCCACTTGAGTCACATGAGCAGTCAGACAAAATAACAAGCTGTTCCCTTGTAGAGCGGCTGTTCCAATGAGGACATCTCTGCACACGGCTTTAGGATTGACTCAAACCATTTTACAGGTAACAAGGCAATAAACAGTAACAAGAACTACATATTTGTATGGGTTCTATGTAGTCACTCCCAGCACAAAAATACCGTTTGCAAGAAGTCAGCAGAAACAGCAGGGACATCTACAATTCTACACTTGACTCACATCCTATGGCTGTGAATGGTGAGGTTTTCTGAAACAGAAACCTCACCATTATGCAAGTGATCAGAATCACATGACGCAGAAAAGCATTAAAGGCTTTTAATGGGATCCACACTGGTTTGTACGAGAACAGCAAGTCACCTTAACAAGATTGAACAGTTTCAATACAGCTGCTATGCATTCATTTAAAGCCCGCAACAACGGACTGCAAGAAAGCCCAGTAAACAATATGACTGAGCTCTAAACTTGTGAAAAACACCACTTAGGAATGTCTGCAACAAACACATGCAACAATGTGCAAAGAATCTTTTCCACCATAAGTCAAACTGAAGATAAAAAATTACATTCAGTCCAGATCCATATTTCAAATACCACAAGACCAAGTCAACAATACGTCACGGTAGCCTAGATGTTTGAGTTCTGCATATCTTTACTGCAGAAATAATCTGGTGGTTTTGATGATATCACTGACCCAGTTCAGACGTTACAATGAAACAGGATTGTAAAGCTGGAAGTATCAAAGGTGAACATGGAGATAAATGCTAGAATCACTACACACACACAAAAAAAAAAGAGAAAAAAAACTCCAGTGGAATTAAACTCGAAAGCAAACTTTCTACATTTAAGTAAACAGGCTGAAATAAAAGCTGCCGGATTAGCGGGTCGTATTCACAATTCCTCCTAGAACCAAAACAGAGGTCAACAAAACAACATGTACTGTACATAACCTGCTCGGTGCTGGGAGGTGGACCAGCCCAAACTGACAGAGCTGTCTAATGTGAAAACATCAACCGATACCGGTATAAAAATACAACTCAAATTACCTCCAACATGTCGGCTAACTTGCTGTTCAGCTAACTTAGTTCAAGGTGCGGTTTCCGTACAGTTAGACAACCAAACGCTTATCTATGACTAGCAATGAGTTAGCCAAATTAGCATACTTGCGTTAGCTACCAGGCTAACGTTAGCACAGCCGTTACAAGCCGAGGCTAGCGGGCCAACAATAACGCCTGTAAACCTCAAAGGCACACGGCCAAATAGTCACCTTACGCTGGTTATTTACGTATGTATCATACATCTAGCAAAATAGCTGAATGAACACAAGCACATAGCTTATTTCTTATATTAAACAATAACCGGAATGCGGCGGCGTTCGTCGCTAAAGTTAACTTGTTTACAAAAGCTAACGCTACTTGAAACGCTTCCGCGTCTTGATGTTAAAACGCACTTAGTTACACAACCAAAGAGCGCTTATTATGGGCTGACAACTGTCCCAATCATGTCACTTTTGACATACAAAACAGCATTCATATATTTTGTAGCATGTCGATATTACCTGAAGACACGAAAAGCAGTGTTAGGAGCAGCATGACTCCGCTGGTTTGCGGCTCGTCTGTTTGTGTTGTTCGGCGGATGAAGCGCGTTGACTGGAGAACAGAGAGCACTGCAATGCAGAGCGAGGCGTGTTGATGCCTTTATGATGTCTCACTGTCAGCTGACTGCTCAGGCATGTGACTCCTCAGCTTAGTGCCTCCGATGTGATCATTCATATCAAAGATCGAGAGACTTTCTGAATGTTTAAAAGCCGATTTTCCATCCAGATACCTAAACAATTACCAGACCTGTTAACTTGTGAACGATGAAATAAAAGTACACGTGTTTTTGATATCGGGGGGAAAAACAAGTGGATTGATTAATTTTCTGCTTGATTTTTCACTACTAGACCCTAGGCTGTCATTTCTAATTTACTTTCTATATTATTACAAAGATTCTAAGATTAAATTGTAGTTTCCAAAAGCTAAATTTAAACGGTCCCTATGATGTTGGGATTAAGCCTGACTAATCAAAGGTTAATTTACACAACCCAAATCCCATTGATGGCTTTTTTGTTGTGTTGAGTCAGCTCTAGCCTAGATTTAACCAACCAATATGAAGCTAACCAAGCCTAAGGAAGTTCAGGAAAAACACCACAGTGACCTCTGTTGATTAAAGTCACGCAAGGTTGTTTAATTTAATCTAAGAAGGACCAATCATAAAAGTTTGGAAGATTAGTCACAGCTCCATAGTTGTTTATTAACCATGGTTTTACAGAGGACAAATGAACCAGTCTGGATGGCTAATTAAAAAGTTCCATAAACCACATCTAAAACTAGAATGAAAACCAGAAGTGAAATTGCCATCACTTGACTAAACATCATGTGGAGTCCAATGTGTAAAGAAACTTGCAAATAAGACAGGAAAAGTAGTTTATTACAACATATGACATTACATCCAAATGCAGGCCAACAGCTATGAAAAAAGGGTCCAAGAGGGAAGCTTCACACAGTGCATCTCCTGGATAGGAGCAGCGAAACCTGTAAAACAAAGAGAACAAATGTTATATACGGTTAATGTACAGTACAGTTAGTCAGCACCACATGATCTCCATGAACAGAAGGTAAAGGACACTGTAATAAAGTCTCTGTAAGGCTGCACTGACAGCATTTTAGAGTCTGACTGACACTGTAGATTTATGAACAACCTCAGTATCAGTATTTAAGAAATTGAAAAATCAAATATCACTTGCTTTTATTTAAGATTTTTGATGAAGATCTACTAAAAATGTGTCTTTATATAAAAAATGATAGAGATAGGCACTGTGTAAGAACATTTTTTATGCAGAACTAAAAAATGTGGTTGTCTTCATGTAATTCCAATTTATATCAGATAGCAGCAAGCGAGGAAACACATTTTAAGTGAAGTAAGTTGACAAGTGACTTCATCAAAATTGCCAAAATCTGCCAATTTTACCATCACATTTGCACACATGCTGATGCTGCAGGAAAGGATTGGCTTTTTACAGTATGTCAGTTAGATGAAGCATAAAAAAAAGGAAGTGCAATGTAATTTGCATTGCTCTTTATATTATAACAACAGCAAATATTGTTCAGTAAAACAAAAATCATATCTATATACATATATATGGTTTTTTAATTATTGTTTTTGCATTAGTGTATTGCTTTTAAAAATGTGAATGTGTATCAAAAGTTTAATTAATGTGAAAAAAACATCACCAGATGGAATGGGGGGAAAAAATAGAAGTATTTTTTTTAGATAAAAACATTAAAAATATGTTTGGTATTTCCTTTAATTTGCCTGTACCAATATATATCTGTGCTAACCCCACCTAAACCATTCAAAATAATGCCATGCCAACATATTACTCCGGCATATCTGTATACTACATTTGGCACATGTCAGGCATATTACGTTAATCAAAGAAAACAAATCTCTTGTTGTGATTTATATAATCACTTAGATTTCCAATTTTGCTGCTCATTTCATCACCACAGCTGTTAGGAGTTCACCACCCCGTGACACTGTGGGGAAATTTGTCTTTGGCCTGATTTGTGTTTTTGCTGTCTGTCTCAGTCAGCATGTCTGTTCTTCTTTTTTTTTCTTTTTTTTTAGGATAAGACACACTGCGGTACAACTGTGTCAGGATCTACAGCCTGTTTTTTTGATGACTTTGTCAGCTTATGTTTCTCCTTGAAACCTGCTAACTATTCACCTTTGTTACCTACAAGGAAGTGCCTTTAGCTTACTACTCTGCTCCAGTTTCCTCATTTCTTTCCAAATGTGGACGTGTTCACACCCTTTAAATCTACGCAGGTTGATAAAACACCTTGAGGAAGAGCATTATTTTAATTTTTAACTGCATTAGAGAACTACAGGTATCTGTCAGGTTCCCATCACTGTGAACCAACACTGATATTATCCCTCCTATTGCGTTCAAATTTACTGACATCTTTTATGCTTTGTCTCACTTTGACCCCAGCAATTTAAACCTCCAGAAAATATCAGAATTAAAATTGGTACCCAAGTTTATGTGTAAATAGCCTTTTTAGATATAACTGAAAAAAATTATGTCAATGACTTATTTAGAGATGTTAAACACTGAATGGGGTCAAATTGATCCCAAAGATAATATGAGGGTTAATGTACATTTTTATATTAGTCCTGGAGCTACAACAGAGATATCCTAAAGGGAAACTCAGTTTTCATTTTCCATTTTCAGTTCTTTTCAATGGCACCAGTGATAGCAGCTCAAAATAAGGTTTTTAAATAGACATTATGTGACTTCAGTGATTTTTAGATTTAATTGACTAATTTATTAGTCACTTGAAAAGTCTATGACTGTCCAAATTGCCTCATATTTTATGGAAAAGAAAAGCTATTAATAGAAACAAAAATGCTTTGGGGGACTTCTTTCAGGCTCTTTCCTGACATTGCATCTTTTAAATTCTGCTGAACTTTTATCTGATAATGTACGTAAACAGCAAAACCTTGTTTCATAAATGTAATCAGCTGTTAATGTTCTTCCTTTGATATCATAAATTACATCCTTGGGTTTTTACAGATTGGGCATCATTTCTTAAACCGTAATTGACGTGTGTTCTTATGATTGCCATTTTTCTAGAAGAATTGTTAACATGTTGATAAGATATAGAATAAATGACAAAAACAGCTGCAGCACTAAATCCATGCATACAACAGTTAAATTGGGCTAAATGAGCACAGAGATGGAGTCAGATGAAAACATCACTGCTGCTCATAAACCAGTTGTGGGCTTCATTTTGAACCAAATACATGGCTTGAACTGATGATACTTGGCTGTGTCCACCTGAGGCCTCCCTTACATTCAGTCAGTGTTTGGGAAGACAGCAGTTACCGCTGGGGACCCGGTCGTCTTTCTTCAGCACCGTGGGCCGCACCACGTCCACATCTCGGTGCAGGTGATTCAGCAAGCCAGTGAGGATATTGGGAGAGGCGTAGAAATCGACCAGAAAGTAAGATCCTCGGCTGTGCCTCTGATTGTGTTTGGTTATCTTGTAGGGCAGCAGTCTCTCCCCCAGATTCTCCAGGCCCCTCACCACGGCGCCCCGCTCCATCAGAGTCTCCACTGTCCGCCGCAGAGTAGCCGCCGTCTCCGGCCGCTGCATCGCTTTCAGGATCAGGGACAGTTCGTATCGAGGCATGGCTCCGTCAAAGTAATCCGCGAATCACAGTTTCAATTCAGCTAGCAATGAATCGTTGTCATTGCCACACTGTGCCGTTCAAAGGCGACCATATTATGACACGAGGGACAGGGAAGGTCTTTGGTGATGACGTATAAATCATGCGCCCGTCTTAACAGCAACATGGCTAAATAAATATGAAACCTAAGAAGAGCGGTGCATTAAAATATGTCTTCAAGTAGTTAAAGATGTCTAATTTAAATTTTACAACACTTTACTTATTAAACATACAAATAATTCAGATTCTGATAAACCAAAAATCAAGAAAACGAGTTAGCTACAGAGGTCTCACTCTGCCTCGATTTCCTGGTGCTATTTGAGCCAAACACGTTTCAAATCAAGACGTTTATAAATGCATACTATTATTTTTTAGAGCAAATACTCAATTGAATTATATAGTTTGTACGATTATTTAGCATTTGGCCGTCGGATGAATTAACCTGCAAATTTGGTTCAGAAAGTGGGCCATTTTTTTCCAAACGGAGTTAACCATCTTATTTCTAAATAGCGCGTTTACGTCGTTATTAAGTGCCTATGCGCATGCTCACAAGTGACGGTTCCGGGCGCTTCCTTCCCTTCTAGAAGGAGCGTGGTGAAGATGGCGGCGCAGAAGTCGGTGCCGAGTGATCTTTATAAATGCGTATATTCGTTTCTGCTTGAAAATAAGTTCACTAAGGTGGCTCAGCAGTTCATGAAGCAGACTAAAGTCGTAAGTAGCTCACGTTGATGGTCAGTTTTAAATGTTGTGTATTAGCAGCTGGCATGACACGAAGTTAAAGGCAGACTACACGCGGGGTAAATACCTACAGCTACATACAGAGTGTATAGCCCCGGTGAAGTTAGCACGTGTATGAGAACACGTTGTGCAAAGCGGCTACATGTTCCTGCACTAATTCATGTTTTACATACGTTCAACTGAGAATTTGAATCATACAAAATTCTTTATTGTAGATCACTTCGAGTAAATGTTAGATTGTACAAACTTTGAAAAAGCTGGGAGTGAATGGTTAATTAAATTTTTTTTTTTTTTTTTTTACGTGTGTCTCTAGAATCCACAAGATCAAAATGAAGAAAGTCTCGTCAACATCTACAACTTCTGGGTGAAGTGAGTGGCTCATTGTCTTTTATGGCTTTTATGTATTTAAGCTACATTAATATACTGTGGAATGGCTCGCTCTATGTGTCGATGTGCATGCCCCTCAAAAGGATAGATTATACACATGCAAAGAAAATCAGTACTCCTGCTAGCTCCAGGAGTTGTCACTAGTTGACAACCCTATCTTAGTTTTGTTCATCTGTATATTATATATCTACATATTATATAATATAATCTGTTATTTTGCAAATGACAAGTGACTTCTGTTTTAGGGAAGATTCTCCTTTTTATGTCACTGAGTTTTTACAGATTGTCTTAATATATTTTAAATCATTTTTGGCATACTGTAATTTTACCAAAGCTTTGGAAAGAATTTTAAGAACATCTCTCGTTTTCTTTTATCAAATTTACTCAACAGGCTTCAACCTAAATATGTTTGAATTTTGCCATATTTGTTAAATTACGAAGACATCTTCTATATGGCATTTAAAAATCTTACAACAATTAAATGCACACAATAAATTATGTTTTAAGTTATGATAAAGCAGCTGACGGGTACCGGCAGGCCAAGTGCGTGGCAGCTCGTGCGGTCGCGGAGGCAAAAACCCAGGTCTGGGAGGAGTTCGGGGAAGCAATGGAGGAGGACTGTCGGGTCGGCCTCGAAGAAATTCTGGCAAACCGTCCGGCGCCTCAAGAAGGGAAAGCAGCTCTCCACCAGCACTGTCTTTGGTGCGGGTGGGGACCTCCTGACCTCGACTGAGGAGGTCGTTGGGCGGTGGAAGGAATACTTCGAGGGTCTCCTCAATCCCGCCGTCACGTCTTCCGAAGAGGAAGCAGAGACTGTGGACTCAGAGGCGGACTCGCCCATCACCCGGGCTGAAGTCACCGAGGTGGTTAGAAAGCTCCCCGGTGGCAGAGCTCCGGGGGTGGATGAGATCCGTCCTGAATACGTCCAGACTCTGGATGTTGTGGGACTGTCCTGGTTGACACGTCTCTGCAACATCGCGTGGTGGTTGGGGACCTCCAGTACCTCTGGATTGGCAGACCAGGGTGGTGGTCCCTGTGTTTAAGAAGGGGGACCGGAGGGTGTGTTCCAACTGCAGAGGGATCACACTCCTCAGCCTCCCCGGTAAGGTCTATTCAAGGGTACTGGAGAGGAAGATACGACCGATAGTCGAACCTCGGATTCAGGAGGAGCAGTCTGGTTTCCGTCCCGGTCGCAGCACACTGGACCAGCTCTATACCCTCCATCAGGTGCTCGAGGGCTCATGGGAGTTCGCCCAACCAGTCCACATGGGTTTTGTGGATCTGGAGAAGGCGTTCGACCGTGTTCCTCGTGGCGTCCTGTGGGGGGTGCTTCGGGAGTATGGGGTACGGGGCCCTCTGTTAAGGGCTGTCCGCTCCCTTTACGACCGCAGCAGGAGCATGGTTCACATTGCTGGTAGTAAGTCAGACCTGTTCCCAGTGCGCGTTGGCCTCTGCCAGGGTTGCCCTTTATCACTGGTTCTGTTCATTATTTTTATGGACAGAATTTCTCGGTGCAGCCAGGGGGAGGAAGGGGTTCGGTTTGGGAACCACAGAATTTCATCTCTGCTGTTTGCAGATGATGTTGTTCTGTTGGCTTCATCAAATCAGGACCTCCAGCGTGCACTGGGGCGGTTTGCAGCCGAGTGTGGTGCGAGTGGGATGAGGATCAGCACCTCCAAATCCGAGGCCATGGTTCTCGACTGGAAAAAGGTGGCTCTCTTGTGGAGAGTCCCTGCCTCAAGTGGAGGAGTTCAAGTATCTCGAGGTCTTGTTCACGAGTGAGGGCCGGATGGAGTGTGAGATTGACAGACGGATCGGTGCAGCGTCTGCAGTGTTGCGGTCGCTGTACCGGACCATTGTGGTGAAGAGAGAGCTGAGCAAGGGAGCAAAGCTCTCGATTTACCGGTCAGTCTACATCCCAACCCTCACCTATGGTCATGAGATCTGGGTAATGACCGAAAGAACAAGATCACGGATACAAGCGGCCGAAATGAGTTTCCTCCACAGGGTGGCTGGGCGCTCCCTTAGAGATAGGGTGAGGAGCTCAGTCACGCGGGAGGAGCTCAGAGTAGAGCCGCTGCTCCTCCACGTCGAAAGGAGCCAGCTGAGGTGGCTCGGGCATCTGCTTCGGATGCCTCCTGGACACCTCCCTGGGGAGGTGTTCCGGGCACGTCCCACTGGGAGGAGGCCCCGGGGAAGACCCAGGACACGTTGGAGAGATTATGTCTCTCAACTGGCCTGGGAACGCCTAGGGGTCCACCCGGAAGAGCTGGAGGAGGTGTGCGCGGATCGGGAAGTCTGGGCGGCTCTGCTCAGGCTGCTGCCTCCGCGACCCGACTCCGGATAAGCGGGAGAAGATGGATGGAAGTTACAATGTGTTGAAACTGTAATCATTTCAAAATTTACAGTAGATACATTAATTTTCTTTTATCATTATTATTTTGTGTGTAAGCTGTAAATGTTAAATTTACAGACAATCCAAACTAAATTATAACTTGGCAATGATTAAAATAAAAAATTAGATGACAAAAAAGGCAGCTTGATGCATCTTGGTGCTTATCAAAGAGCGATACAGCAAGAGACCGTACAGCAAGATTTCCCCCTTTTTTAAAAGTATTTCTGGTGGAAGTAGGAGAAGGAGTTGTATGCTGTTCAGATTGTTGAGGCCTTTTTGGCAAATTTGTGGTAATTGCACTAAATACATATAACTGACTTGACTAGGTCTCCTGAAGCCAAGAAACGAAAAGCACCTGTTAATGCTGAAGCTACCAACGGCCCATCAGCCAAGAAAGCAAAAACCAGTCCAGAGAGCTCCAGCAGCGAAGAGTCAAGCAGTGAGGATGAAAAAGCTGCTGCTGCAAAACCAACTAAGGCTGCTCCAGCAGGTAATACCAATTGAAAGCTGCCAGTAATGTTATTCTGAAACCTTTTACAACATTGCCACTTAACCTTTCTTTATAATGTACATTTCAGCCAAAACAGTGCCTGCTAAAGCGAAAGCTGCATCAAGCAGCAGTGAAGACTCAAGTGACTCTGAAGAAGAGAAGGCTCCTCCAAAGCCTGCTGCAAAGGTAGGTAACATCCAAATTAAATATTCATGTCAGACCCTTTAATTGCTGCAAGACTTTGGTCGTTAGGCTATTATTAAAATGTAGTTTCTGTACATAGGCTCCTGTGAAGCAACCACCTGCTGCTGCAGCAGGCAGCACAAGGAAAAAGGACAGCAGCTCGAGCAGTGAAGAATCTGACTCTGAGGATGAACAGCCTGCCAAAGCTCCTGCACCAAGTGAGTTTATATCCATAAGTCAATAGTACTATCATAAAATAAAATTTAACTCAGAATGGCAATGTTCTTATCTAACTTTATCTACTTCTAAATAATAGAACCCAAAGCTGGTGCAGCCACTACACCCAAAGCAGCTGTTCCTACAAAAGGTGCAGCTCAGAAGAAGCAGGAGAGCAGCAGCAGTGAAGACAGCTCCTCAGATTCTGAAGATGAAAAGTCAACCAAGGTATACCAGAGACTACAACTATATCTTTGTTTTATCATATATTAATAATTGTCTTTATTCCAGAATTCAGAATAAAGTAGTGCAAATGAAATCCAGTGGGAATTGTAGAGTGTAAATATAGCACACAATAAAAAATTTCTTTCATGTGTTCTGCAAGGCTCCAGTCAAACCTGCCCCCGTAAAAAAGGCAGCAGCTCCGACTCCTGCTGCTGCTGAATCAAGTAGTGAAGAATCTTCATCTGAAGATGAGGCTCCTGCCAGCAAAAAACCCAAAGCAGGTGTGGTTTTGTACTTTCTGTTTTTTTATTGTATGCTCATTGACTGCTCGGCACTGTACACACCAATGAATGTTATGAGAGGTTTCATTCACAGACATTCACCAATCCCAGCCTAGTTTTCATTTGTTTTTTAACCTGTTACTGATATGCTGGATTTTAACAGCTACATGAAAAATACATTGAATTTTCTGTCATTCTTTTTACATCCATTTTTGTCTTGGTCATGACTCTCTATCATGTGTGTCCTAACTTTAGACCAAATTATGTCAAGAGCTGATTACCTGGTCCAACATGTGCTTGAAATACTGCATAGTTACCTGAAGATCCTGTTGTATTTGTGGTGATGCTAATCAGCTACTTGTGTCTTGTTAGGAGTGTACAGTGCAGTTCCACCTCCTGCTTCAATCCAGAAAGCTCCTGCTGCACCAGCAGCCAGCAAGGCCAAGGACAGTGACTCATCAGACAGCAGTGATGACAGCAGTGATGAGGATGAGAAGAAAGCAGCTGGTAAGAGTTTCCCACCTTTCTCACTTTGAACTCTGTGTTTTTAATGCCACATCTAACAGCATTGTATTCCCCTCAGCCAAACCTGCACCTGTCAAGGCAACGAAAGCCAAACCTGCTGTGTCCAAACCCGCTGCAAAGAAGCAGGAGTCCAGCTCCGAGAGCTCTGGTAATGATCAGGAATACCTGTCAGTCAATTTCTTCTCCGTTTTAAGCAATGCTAAACGTATGACAAATAATTTCCTTTATGCCCATGTCTGTGCAGATTCAAGCTCAGATGAAGAGGAAAAGAAGCCTGCAGCCAAGGTCACTCCAGCTAAAGGAGCCCCAGTCAAACCTGCCCCAGCTAAGGCTGCACCTGCTAAGGAAGACTCAGATGAAGACTCATCAAGTTCAGAGGAGGAAGAAGTGAAGAAACCTGCAGCAAAGGTGACACCTGCTAAAGCCATGCCTGCCAAGACTACCCCGGCTAAGAAGGACGAGTCTTCAAGCTCAGGTAGGAACATTTGAGCTTAGCATTTCTGTAGGAGTGACATATTTCTTGTAATACCTTTCATTTTCTTTCATTTATCTAACAGTTCTTGCCCATTCTATTCAGTTGTGGTGGGATCAAGGCTAGCATCAAAATCATGCCTATTCTCACCCCTGCTGTGTTACAGTAATTTCTTGTCTGCAAAACCTTCAAAACAATATTTGTCTTTGATACCAGACTCAGAAAGCAGTTCTGAAGATGAGGCTCCAGCAAAACCTAAAACTGCAGCCCCAGCACCAGCTGCTGCCGCCTCTAAGGTCCCAGCCAAGGCAGCAGAGACCAGCTCTGATTCAGACGATTCCTCTGAGGATGAGGAGGAACCAGTGAAAGCCAAGCCTGCAGCTAAAACCGTTACCCCAGCTTCAAAGTCTGCTGCCCCTGTTGCTAAGCCTGCAGCTAAGCCTGCAGCTAAGCCTGCTGCTGCAGCAGAAAGCAGCTCAGACTCTGATTCCTCATCTGAGGATGAAGAGCCGGCGAAGGTAGCTAAAACCGCTACCCCGGCTTCAAAGCCTGCTACCCCTGCTGCAAAGACTGCAGCTAAG